ACATATATTGTCCTTTCTGAAGACAGCATATGTTCAAAGTTATAAATTACAATTTTTTACGTTTTTTTGTGTTTTCAAAAACTTTGAGAAGAGCTACAAGGAATCACCACCGCGCCTGCGTTGTGTGTAATTACTGTTAGCATGTATATGACTTGCAATTCGACAATGTACAGTGAATATAATTATTTCTTATATCTCTCATTTTTGAAATTCAGCAAATTTGCATAAAGAAAAAATGGATGCGCAACTAATTTCTAGCTTTGAATCTCAAGTAAGCTTATTTGAGAAAAGAATCCAATGGAATTTGCATCACCTCATACTACTAGCACACAAATCCTCACTATGCACCTATGCATTGCCATTTCCTTCTAGTTAGTATACAAGTTACATCTTAGATCTCCAATAATGCCATCTTTCTAGCAGATTTTAAATCACATCAGAACCAAACATTGATAGCTGAAGCATCATGATGTTTAGGCAATACGTACAACTAGAAAACGAGTTCACGTGTCCATTCGCTAGTGCCACGTTGACATCTTGGTAGAAAAACCTACTTAATGTAACAAAAAACCAATACAATGTCGTAAAAAATCGACATAACGTCACTTTCCAAAATACGTAATACCCGTGCAGTTAGTGGCCGTTTTGAAGGCGTTGCTGTGATGCAGCAGGTCGTGCAGTAGAAGTGTTCGCTCTTACTCAAGGGCTGACCCAGCTGGTGACGAGCCCTACTTTTTTCCCCCGCGTCTCGTCACACGCCAGTAGCCTGCTGGATCTCTTTCTGACCACGCATCCTGCCCCTTATAGCACTGCCGTCCTGTCCCCCCTGGGTAACTCAGATCACGGTGTTGTGGAGGTTAGGTTTCGGTCAGAAGCCGCTGTGGCCGCAGAAACTCGCACAGGCCGCAAAACTTGGCCTTACGGACATGTCGACTGGGAGGGGCTCAGAGATTTCTTCTCTAGCTTTCCTTGGAGAGATGTCTGTTTCACTGACGCGGATGCGTCGACTGTCTGTTCTTCAATAACCGAAATTATCCACGTCGGAATGGAGGAATACATCCCTCACACAGTGAAAGTTCCTAAACCAGGGTCCAACGGCTGGTTCAACAAATCGTGTGACACTGCTCGCCAGCAGAAGATCAAGGCCCACAGAACCTACTTACAAAACCCCACTGTAGAGAACAGACAAGCCGTCGAGTCTAGAAACAAATATAACGAAGCGGTTCGCAATGCCAAAACCCAGCATGATATAAAAGTTAGGCACAGGGTAATGTCGCAGCGCAATGGCAGTCGGTCTTTCTGGACGCTAGCCAAGCAGATTGAAAAGAACTTCTCACACAGTAGCCTTCCACCACTTACGTGTCAGGATGGAACTATTGTATTCGACTCAAAGGCCAAGGCGGAAGTGCTAGCCAAGATCTTTGCTGCCAACTCCACCATGGACGTCCCCACCAACGCCCAAGTGCCGTCAATTCAAAGGGTTCCCCACACTATGCGGGAGGTAACATTCAGGCATAAGATCGTAAGACGAGTGCTCTTGTCGCTCGACATCAACAAAGCTTCTGGTCCGGACTTGATTCCTGCCATTGTACTGAAGAGATGTGCAGCTGAGCTTGCTCCAGTTCTTTCGCGTCTCTTCCAGATATCTTATGAATCCGGCACCTTCTCAGAAAACTGGAAATTTGCTCATGTACAGCCCATCCCAAAAAAAGGATCTAAAACCGACCCTTACAACTACAGGCCTATAGCTCTGCTTTCTGTTACAAGTAAAGTGATGGAGAGGTGCATAAATCGCGAGCTTCTGGACTACCTCGAACGTCACAGCTTGATTAGCGACAGGCAGTACGGTTTCCGGCACCAACGATCCACAGGGGACCTCCTTGCTTACGTCACGCAACTGTGGAGTAAACTCATCCAGTCTCATGGTGCGGCTCATGTCGTTGCTCTTGACATCACGAAAGCGTTCGATCAGCTGTGGCACGCTGCCCTCTTGAGCAAACTTCCATCCTACGGCCTCCCAGAAAAGCTTTGCAGATGGGTGGCTGACTTTATCTCTGGCCGCAAGATATCCGTCGTAATTGACGGATTCTCCTCTTCATTCCACAACGTCAACGCGGGTGTTCCCCAGGGATCGGTCTTGGCTCCAACACTGTTTCTCTTACATATCAACGACCTCCTTTCCTGCACGATCAACCCAATCCACAGCTTCGCTGATGACAGCACTCTACATGCAGGAATTCAGAGTGACAAGCCGATCTCTGCCGCTGAGCTGGAAAAAAGAAGACTAGCGACGACTTCTTCTCTGACAAGAGACCTGGAGGCTATCACTGCTTGGGGACGCAACAATCTTGTACAGTTCAATGCTTCCAAAACACAGTACTGTACCTTGACGAACAAAAAGCGTCCTAGCGCTCATACAGTTTCGATGGACGGTCGAGTTCTACCAAAGAGCCATTCATTTCGGCTGGTCGGAGTCCAGATCACCGAGGACCTGATCTGGCACGAACACATCTCTTCAATAGCTGCAGCTGCTGGGAAAAAGCTAGGCTATTTGTTTAGGGCTAAGAAGTACTTTTCTCCGCATGACCTTCTCACTCTATACAAGGCCCAGATAAGGCCTAGCCTCGAGTATTGCTCACACATTTGGGGTGCTGCCGCCCCGACTACATTGTCCATGCTCGATGCTGTCCAGAGGAGGGCGGTCCGACTGATCGATGACTCTTCTCTAACAGACAGTCTCGGGACTCTTTCGCACCGGCGGGCCGTCGGCGATCTAGCTCTTTTCTATCGCTACACCAACGGGCTTTGCTCCTCAGAGCTCTCTTCCATGATGCCGCCGCGCGATGTGCCTGCCAGACAGACCCGCCTGACTTCGGCGTCCCATCCTAACTGTGTCAAACTTCGTACATCCAGAACTGGCCGATACGACCGCTCCTTTGTCCCGAGGGTGTCTAGATTGTGGAACAAACTACGGGAGGAAGCTTTTCCCAGTTCTACTAACCTTAGGCAGTTCAAAAATCGTATTAACAAAATTTCTTTGGGATCATCATAGCAGCCGCGGTGTTCTGGCATTTAGGCTCTGCCTCTCTCTGCGCGGCTGTTTCGATATAAAAAAAAAAAAAAAGTTGAGTTGTTCTAGTAGGGACCAAATGGAAAAAGACATCAGGGATATTGTCGCCCTTGCAGATAATCACAGAAGTCCACATGCCACCAGCGGATGTTTTCAGAAAACTTTTTAAAACATCCGCGTCCAAAGCAAGCTGTCATCCCACGTTGCCTCAACAACAGATCTAAAAAATGCATATTCAAATGTCTACTGATCTGTGATTCTCCATCAACGTTCTCTTTTTTCTAATAATGATCATAACAGTCAAATATTTCGTGATTCCTCAAAACTAAATAAGAAAAGTTCATCGCAGACAAAGTTCTTGCTGTATCTTTTTAACATTTTTAACCAGTTTGACAAATACCGAAAAATGTGATTGTCAGTCTGTGACGAATAGAATTGCTCTAAAAACTTTTCAATCCAAGATATAAACTGCCTAGTATAGGAAATCCCGAAAGACCGAGTGTTGTCTTTCCTTTCCTCTGCTACGTTTGATGGCTTTATACAGGGTGGTCCATAAGTCCTTTGAAATTTCAAATTTGAATAAAATTTAACGGGTGAGCGTGAGCGGCGCGGGCGAGGTGGGGGCAGTATCTTCAGTGTCTGGGAATTCAGTCGCCATGGAGTGTTTCACTGGAGCGGATCGTGCTTTTTGTGTGCGCGCGTTTTATCAAAATAATGATTCGGCAACCATTGCGCGGCGAAAAAATCGAGAATACCACAATTTACACAATTTTACAATGTGTCCAACAGCTCAAACGATTAAGAACTGGGTTGCTTAGTTCGAAGAGACTGGTTCGACGTTAGATAAACAGCGGTGGGGTCGACCAAGGACAACTCGTATTGAAGAAAACATCAACATTGTGGCACAGTCTGTTCGTCAAAATCCTACCCAGTCTACTCGTAAGCGTTCCAGTGCACTAAACGTACCCAGAACATCTTTACAGCGGATTTTAAGGAAAGATTTACGTCTACACGCTTACAAAATTCAGTTAGTGCAGGAATTAAAATATAATGACGCTATTCAGAGACTAAACTTTGCGAATGAAATGTTGAATCGATTTTCTTCGCTCAATAATGTGTTGTTCTCGGACGAGGCTCACTTCCATTTAAACGGACATGTAAATAAACAAAATTGCCGTTATTGGAGCCCCGAAAATCCAAGGCGTAAGCATTAGAAGCCCTTACACAGCCCTAAAGTTACAGTTTGGGCTGCTATGTCAGCGCATGGCATCGTAGGTCCTTATTTTTTTGAGGACGACAGAGGTCGCGCATTAACTGTTACTTCGGAGCGGTATGTAGCTATGATAGAAGAGTTTTTGACACCAGCGCTGCAGAATTTTCCAGGCTATAATACGCAGACCTGGTTTCAACAGGACGGAGCAACTGCCCACACCTCTAACACTTCTATGCCCGTCGTCTGTCAACTTTTTCCCAGCAAAGTAATTTCTCGAAGAGGAGACATTTCCTGGCCACCACGTAGTCCAGATTTGACCACAATGGACTCCTTTTTATGGGGCTACCTCAAGAGTAAATTGTACGACACCACTCCGCGATCAGTTGATGTCCTGAAAGAAAATATCCGAAGAGAAATGGCAAGCATTACAGTGTTGACTTGCCGCGCAGTCATCGACAATTTTAGACGTCGTTCATATGAGTGCTGTGATTGTAATGGATTGCATTTAGACGATGTGATTTTTAAAACATAATTCCCATTCAATAAAGATGATAAAAAATTATAATAATTCTTCATAATGTAACTAGTTTGGTTTTATTCCTTTTTTTCCAGCTCAAAGGACTTATGGGCCACCCTGTATATTGCCGAATTATTTTCCTCATTCTCTCCTTTCTCTTAATAAGTTGTAATCACATTACAAGATGTCGAAAATCCTACCTTGGTAATTGGAGCTTCTAAAGGCAAAGCATTCAACTTCGCCAAAGAAGTTCTCCTTAAATAATCGCTACCGACGCTCCTCACGTCCGTGGAGCCCCTTCGTATAGAGTGAACGCTGCCTCTTTGCTGTGTTAAGATGTTCGTGTCAGTCAATGCTGGGTCAAACACCATTATGAAGTGCGTTGGCGATCTGGAAAAAAACAAAATGTTTAAATCGGCTTGTTCAGGGCTTCAATATAACACCGATGATATCTAACATTTCTTCGTTTATTAAATATACAACTATATGTTTTGAAGATTCCATTCTAGTTGTCTCATATTATTGGGCAAAATAAATTCATATCTAATTTCATGAAATAGGTGAGTATTTCTTATACTATTCATTTGTCATAGGAAAACGAAATATATCGACTCCAATTTTGAAAAGCGCACGATGGATATACAGGGTTATCCAAATTAAGTGTCCACCATTGGTAACTTTGTTATTAGTAAAAATACAAAGTTGTTTAAATTAGCAAACTAGTAGCATTTTTAACGCTGGTAAAAATGAGAAATAAAAAAAACAATTGAGAGTCGTTATTTTGATTTTTTTCAGTAAAATAACATTTTTTTAAATGGAAACCCCTGTATATTATATTTTTTTCTGTTAAAGCATCAAATTTTAAACAAAAAAGTTCATAATGACTTTTCCGCTAAAGTCAAAAATAAAGTCAAAATAACGATAAATATTTTTAATTATTTGCAGTATTATAATATTAAGACGGCTATGAAAACAACATGGCGTTCGCGATTTGACAGCATTAAGATAAGCGACAAATTGTTAAACTGGACATACTCGCAACTAGAAGGCTTTGGAAAACAATGATAAAATCAAATAATGTCAAACATTAGTGTAAATACTTGTTTATAAGCTTTATTGTGTCATTAATTTAAAGAAAAATGTTCTCCCATGAAGAAAAGTGTGATATGTTAGAATGCTATTTAGTGTGCAGAAAATCCTCCTTGAGAGCAAGAGAATACTACAGTGAATTATATCCCGCTCGCATTCAACCGTATGAACGATATTTTCTGAGACTTTATCGAAAATTTAGGGGCAACGAAAATGTTTTTGCTAAAACAAGGGCAAAAAAAGAATTCATAATAAGCGAGGCCACGGAAATTGCAGTTATTGGATATTTTGAAGCTTATCGTGAGAATTCAATAGCAGATATTCTCAAGGACTCTAATTTCAGTTATGGTACTGTTCAAAGGATTTTAAAAAAATACAAATTTATTCCGTATAAGTACCGACCAGTTCAAACGCTTTTGGCAGGGGATCCAGAGAGAAGACTTGTTTTTTGCCATTGGTATCTTAGCTTCTGTCTCCAAAATGTAAATAACTTTCGTTACCTTTTATGGACAGATGAATCAAATTTTTCAAATTCTGGAATGTTTAATAGAAAAAACCACCATTATTGGTCAAGAGAAAATCTTTTGTTAGTACATCCAAGAGGCCCACAAGTCCGTTTCAGTTTCAACGTTTGGTGCGGTATAATTGGTTCAAAAATTGTTGGCCCGTTCTTTTATGAGGGAACCCTAACTGGTGAAAGATATGTGGTATTTATGTCAGAAAATCTGACTAATTTCTTAGACGAATTGGATCTTATAAGTAGACATCATCTGCATTTTCAGCAAGATGGCGCACCTGCCCACAACTCCAGAGGTACTTATCATTTTCTAAGTACTACTTTTAATGATCAGTGGATAGGAACAAATGGCCCAATACAGTGGCCTCCCAGATCACCAGATCTAAACCCACTTGATTACTTCTTGTGGGGTTACTTAAAGAACCAAATTTACAAGCGAAGGTACGATAACCTTGACGCGTTAAAGACTGCAGTTAGGGAAAAGATAACCCAGATAGATGGTAGGACCATACTTAAGACAGTTCGAGCAGTTGAAAAACGTGCCCAAAAATGTATTGAAGAACAAGGTGGTGTTTTCGAGCATCTTCTTTAAAAAAAATTGTTATTGTATTTTGTAAGATTATAAGTTGATGTTGAAAATAAAGTTTGTCGATACAATTTAATTGTTTCAGATCGGAGGCCATAACTTCAACAATTTGTAACCTAGGAGAAAAGTTATTGTAAGCTTTTTTGTTTAAAATTTGATGCTTTAACAGAAAAAAATATAATATACAGGGGTTTCCATTTAAAAAAATATTATTTTACTGAAAAAAATCAAAATAACGACTCTCAATTGTTTTTTTTTTATTTCTCATTTTTACCAGCGTTAAAAATGCTACTAGTTTGCTAATTCAAACAACTTTGTATTTTCACTAATAACAAAGTTACTAATGGTGGACAGTTAATTTGGATAACCCTGTATATAAATAAATAAATAAATAAAAACGCCTTTATTTTAAACTCGGCGAAGGCCAGCTATGCTGTTAACTTCACCGAGCATGTAAAAAGTAACAACAAGCCAAAAAGAAAAGTAATATGACAAGAAACAAGTTTTACATTACATTAATTTTAGAATATTACATAACAACAATGAACAATAATAACAACAGATGTGCGTATACAAAGAAAATAAGCAATAATAAACAACTTATACTTCACAGAAGCAGTTGTTTCAGTTTTCATTTGAACATATTAGGAGACATATCTTCAAATTGACCTATATTGTATTGGTTTAGAAGTTTCACTGATGTAAAGGAAAATGAGTTTTGAGTCATGGTTTTAGTTATTTTAGGTATTTCATAAAGTACATTAAAGCGTGTTGCACGAGAGTGAATCAGATTTCTACGAGCTAATTTTTCAAACAGATATGGAGGGCTTTTAGTTTTAATCAATTTATGAAGAAAGCAAGCAAAATGCAGCTTTTCTCGATTGGAAACATTCAACCATTTCAGTTCGGAAAGTTTATGACTGACATGATCGTGACGTCTAAGCTGGTAAATAAGTCGTATGCAAGAATTCTGCACTTTTTGGAGTTTATCCTTAGTAAATACATCTAAGCAAGGACCATACACAAAGTTGCAATAGTTAAGGTGACACAAGACCAGTGCTTCGCAGAGAACCTTTTTTAACTTAAAACTAAGAATATCTTTACTTTTGTAAATATTGCGAAGGTTAAAATAGGCTTTTTGTAGAAGCCTAGACACATGACTTCGGAATCTAAGCTTGTTATCAAAGATAACGACCAAATTTTTATATCCCTCAACAACCGGTATTGCCACACCATCCATTGCTATCATCAAGTTTACAGACGCCCAATCTTTAGCTGGCCCAAAGTAGATTATGGCTGATTTATTAGGATTCAATTTCAAGCCATGATTATATGAGTATTTGAAAACTGAATCCAAACACTCGTTTAGCCTCCTAGCCGCTTCAATTGCGTCCGACTTAACAAAAGAAAGCTGAATCTGTGTATCGTCAGCGTATCTATGATTGTTTATGTCACCAAAGCACTTCGACATATCAGCAGTAAAAATGATAAAAAATAAAGGACCCAAAAGTGATCCCTGAGGAACTCCTCTATCCACGTTCAAGGGTTTTGATTTAAGCCCATCAATTGAGACCGACTGCGATCTGTCATCCAAATAACTACGAATAAGTTGAATAGTCTTAAGTTTAAATCCATAGTACAAAAGTTTTGCACACAGCAATGCATGGTTAGTCCCAATCTCCGATATTGCCCAGAAAACGTCATCTTCACTAACGAGTTTCAATTCAAATTCTGCGGTTGTACATTTGGAATTAGGATATTTAGAAATAGTATTCGTATCGACAGTGCTAGGTATTTGTCGCACCGAGTCGATAAAATATTGATTAATTGAATTTGGGTTTTTAAGATGGTTAATAATTTCTATATTTTTTTTAGATCTGTTATAGATATTAAGTTGGTCTAGTGTCTTCCACATGTCTTTGGATTTTTTTAGTACGACTGACAAAATCAATATAAGCTCTCTTTTCTTGTCGAACAGCTGACGTAAAAAAATTCCTCATTTCTTTGTAGGATGCCCAATCCCGTAAATCTTTAGTACGTTTGTATTTAGAGAAAAGATAATATATGTGGAATTTAAATAAATATATTTTTTATTTTTAATTTGAAACTGTAAATACGCTATCGGCCATGATGTGACGTCATACCAACCAAGAAACGTCATCAGTATGTCACTCGTGGAGTAACGTTTTTTTCTATATATATTTCTAAAAAACTCCCAATCAACGTAAAAAGTTATCATTTTCTCGTTTTGTTGAAAAAACGATCATGAACGTTGGATTTGCAAAAGCAGAAAGCACAAATTTGTAAAATTGACACACTGCTAATTGGTATAATCTGTTGGTTTTCAACCCAGATTTCTGGTCTGCAGAGCTGAGGCACATCAATACTTCTACGTAAGTACAGTGTATCTGGTATAACGATATGCATAAAAAATAATAACTTACATAATCTTCGCTTCCAGAAGTCATTCAAAATTAAGCTCATACTCTGAATAATTTTATCTATATTATATTTCTTTTTACTGTACTGTACGAAATGTAAAATATGTTCCGAATTAAGGTATGCTCCAAGCAATATTAATATTACATACGTACATATTACATATTACATAACATATTACATATTACATATTACATATTACATATTACATATTACATATTACATATTACATATTACATATTACATATTACATTACATATTACATATTACATATTACATATTACATATTACATATTACATATTACATATTACATATTACATATTACATATTACATATTACATATTACATATTACATGTTACATATTACATATTACATGTTACATGTTACATGTTACATGTTACATGTTACATGTTACATGTTACATATTACATATTACATATTACATATTATATATTACATATTACATGTTACATATTACATATTACATATTACATATTACATATTACATATTACATATTACATATTACATATTACATATTACATATTACACATTACATATTACATATTACATATTGCACATTACACATTACATATTACATATTATATATTATATATTACATATTACATATTACATATTACATGTTACAAATTACATATCTCATATCACATATATTTCACATTTCGCATATCACATATCACATATCACATATCACATCTCACATCTCACATATCACATATCACATATCACATATCACATATCACATATCACATATCACATATCACATATCACATATCACATATCACATATCACATATCACATATCACATGTCACATATCACATATTACATATTACATATTGAATATTACATATTACATATTCAAACTTCGTTTTTTAACGTTTCTCGGAAAAATTTTTGTATCGGCTAAAAACTGGGGGCTCGAGATTCTAATAAAATAGTACAATAATTTAAACTTACCGTCCACAGCAATGGAATGGCACGGCCTTACAAGAGGTAACAATGGTATCCTGTGATTTCCTCCTGATAGTCATGGCGCCGTTCCACTCCCTGGCTCGTAATAACGATGAACCCATTGTGTTTATCTGGATGGTATCGGTGATGAAGGACTCTTGAAGCGTTTTCCCCAGACATTCCTCTTGTTTTACGCCAAGTTGCTTCTCACAGGCCCTGTTTATGTACTGCATAAATGAATTAAGATTAGTATTAGATGATAATTATTCTAAAATAACCATATGTTCATCAGTACAACCATTGGTTCATAGTTTGTGGCTCCAAAGAGGATATTTAACCACTACAGGTGATCACTTTTCAATATTTTCCCAAAAATTCCTCATCAAGTTGACGTGGACCATTCTCATCTCTGAGATGGAATGAAATATCGATTTGCAAAGAAAAAAATGATATAGCTTCCTTAGACTCGTAGAAACATGAATGACGTGGTTAGAGATACACCTCTATAAGACGTCAGTCTTGTTTCGCAAACCGTTTTCGAACATCTTATAAAGGGTGGCCCAACGAAAAGGTCGCACCCCTATTTGTGTCTCTCCTTGTATATTTTGGGAAAAACGATCGCACACGTCAATTTTTCAGGGGGACGTCTTTACATCTATAGCCGTACAGGGTGATCCAAAAATAAGATATTGCGTTACAATTTAGATTTTTAAATGGAAAACCCCATTTTTCTAATTTTTAGGTTTACCAAGAAGTTTTTAGTAACTTTTGCATACTTACTTGTAGCTTGTAGCTGTCATCTGTAATCACTACGATATCCTTGCATTTATCGAGTGCCATATACATAGCTTCACAGGTGGCATGTCTTGCCTGAGGTATGACGTCGCTGTGCTTAAGTAATAAGACTTCGTTCACGCATGTTATTATGTTTGTCGTCTCAACCACACACTGAAAAATTAATAAATACAGTCAGATGTAGAAAGGTAATATCAATGGCAAGAAATTTCACACTCTTTGTTTTTGATATTTGCAATGGTCTTTGAAAAAATGAGATATAAATTTTGGATGTTATATGACATGTACATTCCAGAAAACTATGCCAGCTATTTACTGTCGGTTTGTCCACTAATCTTATAACCGCGAAGTACCGTTCGGATTTTGATGAAATTTCCACACAAATTACCAAGGACGAAAAAGCTTTGGTCGATTTTCATCCAGTGGCAGCGGAGCTCCAGGCAAAGAACAAAAAATGTATAAATCCATATAAAGCTCAAACCTTGTTTTTAAAATCGTGTTTTCAGAAACGTAGAAGGAAAAATTCCTGAATCCCAAGAAATAAGATATATAAGTATAGACAATGTAGCTCACCTAAGGACATAATTGATGCTTCTGCAGAATACTTTTCAACAGTTTTTACAAAATCTGATGCATTGACTACAAATCATTAAAGCTTGCTAGCTCAACTATTACATTGAACAGTATTAGTGTAGATATTATTCGCGCTTCTAGGAAACTAAAAAACAAAATAACTTCGGTGTTCACAGTTTTATAGTAAAACATTGTATTTGTATTGGCAAAACCTGTTTGTGCGCTTTTCAATCCAATGCTTTCAACATGTACATACCCCTCGATCTGGGAAGTGCCTAAGGTTTGTCCGATTTTCAAAAATAGTGATGTCAGCGATATCTGTAACTATAGGCAAATAGCTTGCTGACTGTAGCAAGATTTTGAGATTCTCATATACGATGCCTTGTATGGCTCTCGGAGGGGATCTATTTCTGACAATCAGCATGGGTTATGTCTGGGAGGTCAACAGTCACAAGCTTTTCTTGTTTAACGCAAAATATTTCTGAGGGTTTGGATCATGAAGGTCAGTTGGATGCAGTGTCATTCAAAAGGCCTTTATAAAATAGATGATTACTTGTTATTAGCTAGGTTAGAATCTGCTGGCTTGTCAGACCTTTGAAAAGGAGCATGTGTGACGAATATGGTGGCTATCCATCCAAGACTTATACTGCAACATGTGTACCTCATGACTCTGATTTAGGACCTTTGTTTAAAAATGTATGTTGTTAATAATAATTTCAGTGACCGCATTCTGTTGCAAAACAGCGTGAACTTGGTGCTCTAACAATCAGCTTAATATTATCATTTCAAAATTGCAAGGTTAAGTCATTTACTAGAAAACTACATCCTATAGTATACGATACCTATAACACTGATGGAAACCTGCTTGAGCGGGCCACAACTTTCAAGGATTTGAGTGTCGTTTTCGACGTCAATTTGACACTCAAAGACCAAATCCTTCATATAATAAATACAACATTTAACATTAGGCTATTGCATCAGAAATTGATGTATAATATATCGGTGGCAAGATTAGTAAAATTAATTTTCCCGTCACTAGGTTAGGTAGCCGCTGACAGAATTTGTTTTTCCAGAAATTTGGGTGTAAATCACCGTTGAACTATATGTGTGTTTCAATGGGATTTGTTCCGCTGTTGTTAAATTATTGATTTATTTTCGTTGTTGGTATATTTCTTGTAATAGGTCGTAACCTGTTGGTACAAATACAATACGCCAGTAGCGTGGACGGGTAAAAAAAACAGATTTGACACTCGTACTAAGCTTCACCGTCTTCAGACTATGTGTATAAATATTCTATAAATAGTTCCTTTCGTGCTTAGATCCCAGTTTATTTTCAAATCACCGTATCCCTCTTGTGTTAACGTACGCGAATTTAGAACTATACTAAGTGACATAAATCCGAACACCCAGTTTAAATGGTTTTATTTTAATAAAAGTTAATAACAAGTGAAAAATTTTTCAGTCTTATCAGTTGGACATTCCGGTTTTTATACTGTTTTCTTTAATTCACTAACGCTCTAAAAATGAATATTTCAGCCGCAGTAAAGAATCAACGTTGGCGGATTTTGGTTCTTGACATCCTTTACGATGCCTACAGTATATTCAGATAAGAGATAGACCGGATGTAAACAAAAGGTTCGGGTGATTTTCACGCTAACGCCGCCGTCTCGACGTAAAACAGGAGCCCTCATTGGTCAATTCGCAATTAAATGCCTATGCCGAGCGGCAGAGCAGTCGTATCAAGACAGAGTCACATTCAGGTTCAGACGTGTTACGTATGTCGTGTGCATCATTGCAATTTGATATTTCTTTGGACGTTTTCGTTTGTTATCTTATTAAGTTGTTGAGTTTGTCGTTGTTATTGTTATACCTTGTTATTGATTGTTATTGTTATCAACTGCTTGCGCAAAATGCCCAGTAGTACAGATACTGCCAATGAAGTTGTAAACTCCTGTAGTCCACCTAGGAAACGCTCTAAAAAAAGACACCTGAGTGCAGAAATGAAAGAGGTCATTTTGAATATATATAAGATCGAGCGCGAGGAGAACGAGGCATCAACCATCAAAGAAATTGTTGTGAAGGTTTCTCACAAAGTTGGGGTGTGTCGCGCATCAGTGTTTAATGTGTTAAGACAATAAAAAAAAAATCACACCTTTTCTGAGCCAATGACCAGTAAACATCGCAAACGTATTGTTAAATCATTGGATGAAGCTGATAAGCATGCGATTAGGAGGAAAGTGCATGAATTCTTCTTTAGGAATGAAATACCTACTATAGATAAAGTATTGCAGGAGGTAAATGGAGATACAACGTTGCCAAATTTCAAACGATCAACTTTCCATGCGTTACTGAATCATTTAAATTTCAAATGGAAAAAACGGGGTCATAATAGTTTACTACTGGATAGAGAAGAAATTGTGCTATGGAGGAGGGATTATTTAACAAAAATTGGGAAATACAGAAATCAAAACAGGAAGATGTATTACCTTGATGAAACGTGGGTAAACGCAGGACACACTACAAGTAAAGTTGATGATTCTGTAACTTCATCCAGGAGGGTCTTTCTAGATGAACTGTCCACTGGATTAAAAAATCCAGCAGGTAAATACGAGTAATAGACAACAATCGGATGTTTTTCAAACCTTGGGAACAAGGTTCTAAACATTAATTCCAGGGGGCAGATAAAACATATTACAAGTAACAAAACTTTTATAACTTTCGATAAAATGCGTGGATGTTTTATTGTCATTTTCATTTGTTAGAACTTTTTTAAGCCATGTTTTTATGTGTTTTCGATATTTCAATCATTTTTTAATATAATCTTAAAATATGTCGAATATTATAAACTTAAAAAAAGTTACTAATATTTCTAATCATTTTAATTCATACTTTAAGCTTTATAAAGTTATAATTTGTTAATATTAATATTTGCGCGTATTTCAGGTTCCTGATCATTCATTTTTTAAAGGTTTATAACTTTAAATTAAATTGTGAAGCGCTGAGTAATCATACGACGTTCAATATTCTTTCTTTCAATATGACTAAGTAATCCCAATTATAGCAATCTGATACTCATGTCTCAATGTTTTTTTGCTGAATGTGATGAAAACATTTGAAAAAGGTTCGCTTATTGAAATAAATCTACACCAGTTAGTACTTCGATTTCCAGGTAAAGGGAAAAAGCTCATTATCTGCCATATTGGAAGTGAGGATGGATTTGTTGTTGACGGTCTGTGGTGCTTTGAGTCTAAGAAAACTGGAGATTACCACGAGGAAATGAATGGCGAATCGTTTGAACAGTGGTTTTCAAAAATTTTACCGAACTTAGAGGAAAACGCAGTAATTGTGTTGGATAATGCGCCTTATCATTCTCGAAGAATGGAGAAGGTCCCAACAACGGCTTCAAGGAAAGTTGATGTTCAAAATTGGCTCCGCTCGAAAAATATCAACTTTGAAGAAGCAATGCTGAAAGTACAATTATTAAGAATTGTCAAGGATCACAAGGCGGAATATCAAAAATACGCCATTGACGAAATGGCAGCAAGTCAAAATAAAACTGTGATCCGTTTACCTCCATACCATTGCGAGCTCAATCCCATTGAGCTCATATGGGCAGAGGTTAAAAATTATATAGCTAAGCACAATACAACTTTTAAATTTTGTGACCTCAAAGGACTTTTCAAAGAAGCACTAGAATTAATAACAGCGCAAAAATGGGAAAACTGTATTAAGCACGTGAAAGACAAAGTTGAAAAGAGAATGTGGGAACTGGACAATATTTTAGAGGAACAAGTCGAGCCATTCATTATTGATGTTGGTGCTTCAGGCAACAGCGATGATGAAAGCTCATCAAGCTCATCTTTCCAATAAAAGATGTCGTTCATCAAATTCGGTAAGTTATAAGTAATTATAAAGCTACTGTATTTTTTAATTAATTATTGACATTTTTGAACCCATTTTGACAAAACCTATTCAAGAATCTACTTTCTGACAATGTTCAACCATGCACATTTTTTTACGTTTTGAACGTTTTAATTTGGTTACATATTTACCTAGAAATCAAAAAATATACTAATCAATATTCTAAAAGCAATTTTAAGAGATATACGATTATTTTTAATTTAGGCTAATTTAAACGCCATTTTGAGATTATATTCGACTGTATTTCACCAAACATCAGGCGGCATCCGAAGCTGGAAATCGAAGCGAAAATTTTGAAACCCTTATGTATATTTACATCATTATATATTTCTTACCCCACCCCCACATGATCCTATATCCATCACCAATTGTATACACATCGAATTGTGCTAATTTACTACAAAGTTACGCAAAGCAGCATCTACTATCTAAAATATGTACTGCGTGACTCTTAATACGTCCCTGCTGAATGTTACAGCGTTCGATGATCACGTGGTCTTGTTTATGTCCGGTCTATCTCTTATCTGAATATACTGTAGAGTACGGAGACCTGTACGATTTCGTCAACTTAGTGAGTTTGATAGGGGCCGTATAGTGGGACTTCGGGAAGCTGGACTTTCTTTTCGGGCAATTGCAGTTAGAGTGCAAAGAAGTGTAGACAGTGTGGTTAGGTGTTGTCAGGCATGGCTTCGAGAAGGCCGTACGCAAAGAGCAAGGGGCACTGGACGCCGCCGTAGAACAACAGACCGTGAATATCTCCGCCTAAGATTATTGGCCTTAAGGGACCATTTCTCCACTACCAGGTCCATTGCAAATTAATGGTTTGCAGAACACGGAAGACCTATTGGCATGCGAAGTGTTTACCGACGAATGAGAAGTTTTGGCTTGTTTTCATACCGGCCACACTGGGTCCTCCCTTTAACTCGAGAACACCGACGTAATCGCCTTGAGTGGTGCAGACAACGGTCACTCTGGGATCAGGAATGGAACAGTATTGTCTTTAGTGACCATTCTCGATTTTGTTTAGGCTTGCACGATGGTCGCCAGGGTTAGAAGGCGACGTGGTGAAAGGAGGAATCCACAGTTTTTTGTTGAAATACATGTTCATCACATTGTTGGAGTTATGGTTTGGGGTGCTATAGCTTATGCTTCCAGGTCACCTTTAATCTTCATCAGAGGTAACATGAACGGGCAGCGTTATATTCACGAAGTTCTAGAACCCCATCTTTTACCCTATCTTGACACCCAGCCAGATCCAACTTTTCAACAAGATAATGCCCGACCACATGTTGCAAGAGTCACAATAGACTTCTTTCAACATAATGATGTCACATTGTTACCATGGCCACCAAGATCTCCCGACTTATCCCCAATTGAGCACGTGTGGGATATGATGTCCCATTTGCTCAATTTGCAACGTCTTCAGACTCGAGAAGCACTTCGAGAGGAGTTGGTGGTTGCCTGGAATGAGATACCACAGGAGGACATTGACCACCTGATCAGAAGCATGCCTAGGCGCGTTGGAGAATGCGTAGCACATCAGGGTGCATCCACTCATTATTAAAGGCTTTAAAGCAGTGCAATGATTTTGAAATTTTTATCATTTACTTATTATGCTTCATTAAGTACTTATACAAAATTTTATTATAATAAAACCATTTAAACTGGGTGTTCGGATTTATATGTCACTTAGTATATTTAAACAATAAAGATGTTCATAGACTATGTATCTAAGAAGTCTCCAACGTATTTAGGGCCAAAAATTGTTAACACTTTGCCAGCAGACATGAGCTTTCTCAAAATAAAACTTAAGTAGTTTCTTATAAAAAAATGCTATTGCTATTACTATTTCATTTACCGTGATAAAAAAGCGGAAACAAAGACGAAGCGCCGGTTTCCGTCCGTCTGTCAGTGTGTATGCGCATTTTTATCCAATTTACGTACCGGATAATCAAGAGTGCCGCGATTCTATCCAATAAAAAGTCGGCGAATGCAAACAAAAACGAATAAGGAGGAAAATTTGCTTCTCGCCGGAGGAGTGCAAAAATTAGTTCGTTTTCTGTTTGCTCATTCTGTTCGCGAACCTAACGTGACGGTTCATTGCGATACTAGGTATTTGCTACCGGTAAACAATGATACTTGATACACGTATAATGGACCCGAAGTGAAAGGAAGGTTCAGTGTTTACTATTTTGAGAAACCTGATAGGCGCAGCTTATGAGAGGATTTGCTACGAAATCAGATAGTTGGATTTCAGGTCTGTTTTCCACTGCACTTCGCTAAAAATTCTGAAATTAAAATTCATCTCATGTCCAATGGTTTGACAGCGGATACTTGGCCCTATATAATTTTCTTTAACAGTTGCGTTTGCTGCTTGATGATGTTCCGTTAGTAATAAGAAACAATGTGTGGTACATGCATGATGGTGCACCAGCGCATTTCAGTGTACCACCAAGGTCCCCAGACCTCAACAGTTTAGATTTCTTTTTGTGGGGCTATCTTAAGACACTAGTGTACACAAGTCCTACTAACACTGGAGAGGGATTAAGAGAAAAAATAGTTGCAGCTTGTAAAATAAAAAACACTCCAGGGATATTTCAACGATTGCGCAATTCCATGAGAAGGAGGGCGGAAGCATGCATTTCTTTTATTTTAATTTAATGTTTATGTTGTCAGTTGTTGTTGTTCATTACCCCTAATGTGCTCAATTTTTCCAATTAATTTAATAATAATTTGGCAAGTAAGACAATAGAACGGTTTTTATTTTTTTACTCAAAAATGGCGCATCGAAGGAAAGCAACTCAAGAGAGATCATTTGTTTTAAATTGAACGAGAAATTCCATTGGCGTACCATTTTTTTCTTGAAGAATCTCGAAGTCAATACCCGTACGCGTGCCACTGTTAAAGCAAAAAATTATTTTTGCATTAAAAAATATGCAACTTTATTAACTTTCACTACATACTAAATATCAGTGAAATATCTGAAGCGGTTTTGAAAATATTAATTAATTTCAATTTTTTTCCTAAAACTTCAACACCCTGAGTTTTTGTAAGGAAACATTTTTGGATCATAGTTTATAAAGCAAAGTAACATTATTTTTTCATGTAGATTCATACCCTTAAATATTCGCATATCATTAAGGAATACCCTATACAGGTTGTTTCAGTTTATTGTTGCATAACTTGAAGATTCGATAGAACTTTTAAAATTAATGCATAAAGTCTATATAAACATGGGTCGAAAAATGCGTGGCTTCCGAAATATAGGGTGTTTAAATTTACTTTCTAAAATAGTTTTATTTAAATATTTCGAACAATATTTGATGTATAACAGTGAAAATTGGTATACAAGGGTTTTTTGGTACGACAAAACGAACCATGGGCATAGTTTTACTGTAGCCGCTAGAGGGCGCTCTCTACTGTACCTGTAGTGTATTAAAATGACCGAACATTTTTTCTTAGTGCAATTTTTTGCTTTTTGAATAAAAAAACTGATTCTTCGCACTTTTCAACATAAGAAAGTTTTCCTGTGAGTTTTCGTTATAGTTAGCCGTTTTTGAGATATTTTTAAGGTTCGATGCATTTTTAATTATTTATGGGAAAATAATATTTTTTTTTTACATTTTCGATTTGGGCATTACAAGTAATTAAGCTGATCGTTTAGATTATGTTTTTAAACACAGCAGTAATTCCTAACTCCAAATAAACACAAAAAACAGAATATTAATTTGTTTACCTTTCCAATATTATTTTTAACAAATTAAATTAATTATTTACAACTAAAATGCTATTGGATAGTTAGGACAAACATACAAAATCTAAAGTAGTTGCTCGAAATGTAAACCCAATTGTTCAATTCACAATTCATTCAGTCTGGTACACTTTTTCTTTTAGAAATTTCCACACAAAGAAATCTAATGGATTTAGGTCAGGGGATCGTGGAGGCCAGGCGACTGGTCCTCCACGGTCGATCCATCTTCCTGGATAATTTTCGTCCAGCCAGTTTTTAACTATTCTCGAATAATGAGCTGGAACCAGGTCAATCTTCTTAAATCTAACATAACATCATCCCACATATTTGCATTCCAAGAAGGTCGCAGCATTTAACCGCAGGCAAAAGGTAGGGTCCAAATAGTCGATTACGGTAGATACCAATCCACACGTTCACACTAAATTCATCCTGAAAATTTCTTTCCCGAAGCGCATGCGGATTTTCATGCGACCAAGTATGTTGATTATGAAAATTTACCACTCCACGTCTAGTGAAGCATGACTCATCGGTCCATAAAACGTTACTTAAAAACTCCCTATTATTATCAGTACTATCAAGAATCCACTGACAAAATGTGATTCTTCCTTCTCTGTCCCCTGGCTGTAGTCCTTGCACAGGTTGTAAATGGTAAGGACCTCTATGGTCATTTCTAAGAACACGGTGAACATGGCTTGCTGAAATTCCCAAGGCACCAGAAACTCTCCTAACACTTGTGGTCGGATCTCTATCAAACTCACGCAGAATCATACGGGTAAATCTGCGCTGATGAACATTTATGTTTTGATCCCTTTGGAGATTTCCAAAACCATTTTCAATTATTTGGCCATGCACTCTTACAAATACTGAGCGAGTGGTATGTCGCCTGTTTGGAAATCTTCGTGCATATTCTCTGGCTGCTTCTGCTGCGTTTCCATTTACAAAGCCATACACAAAATGAATATCCGCTAACTCTTGATTGGAGAATAAAAATGGCATTTTTATAAAACTTACAAAAAAAAAACAGGTAATAGAAACTAAATTTCGTGCATTCACAATTGCAAAAAAACGTTTCAGGTTTCAACAGACAACAAAACTAACTGTCAACTAATTGACGTTTAACCTTATTCTGCTTTCAATTTCAAAAATATTTGCAGGCACAGCCTACTTCTAAAAATTATCGAGATACTGACTTTTTAACGTTATTTTATCATAAATAATTAAAAATGCATCGAACCATAAAAATCGAAATAAAATGGCTAACTATAGCGAAAATTCACAAGAGAGCTTTTTTATGTTGAAAAATGCGAAGAATCAGTTTTTTTATTTAAAAAGCAAAAAATTGCACTAAGAAAAAATTTTCGGTCATTTTAATACACTACAGGTACAGTAGAGAGCGCCCTCTAGCGGCTACAGTAAAACTATGCCCATGGTTCGTTTTGTCGTACCAAAAAACCCTTGTATACCAATTTTCACTGTTATACATCAAATATTGTTCGAAATACTTAAAAAAAAACTATTTTAGAAAGTAAATTTAAACACCCTGTATTTCGGAAGCCACGCATTTTTCGACCCATGTTTATATAGACTTTATGCATTAATTTTAAAAGTTCTATCGAATCTTAAAGTTATGCAACAATAAACTGAAACACCCTGTATAGTTGTAAACATAGGTGGCGGCATGTATGCCTATTTGCGCGAAGCCATGGCTTTCAACTGGGTTGGGTATCTTCTGAGATATATTAATCAAGGGTTGTAGTTATTTCCACATCTCCAGTTACTTACCCTATTAAAGCCAGCATCTAATAATGTCACCACGACGATGTCATCTTTCTCGTAAGCACTTGAAAAATAAGAGATTACAAATTAGCTGAGGGTATACTATGTATATGCAAGTAATATTCCATTTCACGCTTTATGATTTATGAATTCACTCTTTGATGACAAAATTCTACGCAATAGCAATGAAAAAGGTTGCTTCAAAGATACCGCTTCAAATACGGAGAGACGAGGATACATAACGAAAAGCCTGAAGTCATAATCCAATTACAAATACTCAAATGACACTTATCATTCACCTAGTTGTTTTTTAGCATTATATTTACATAGAGAGAGAAAACGTACTTCTCAATTAGTCATGAAGAAGGTAATTTTTACGTTTTGAAGTTAGGAATATAATTCTTTTCATTCGATACAATGTGGGGTTTGTGATACTTTTGGCATAGTATTTAAACTGTTATTGAGTATTTTTCATTAAACTTGTGCTTTCGATCTTTTTACTTTTGATCCTCTATTGGCTTAAAGACATGAATGTGATCTATCAGCAAAATAAATAACACTGGAAACGAGATTAAATATTATTCCGCTTTGCGATATAAAATGTCCTCCTGTTCACCAGAAGCCGATTGATGAATCAATCTGAACGTCAGTGTCTATTGTATAGACAGAAGTCTAAAATACCTACGCGATCAAAATATTTAATAAGTCCTGCTGATAAAATAATTTCTGAACTTATGCAAATATTACTGAATGATGTTGTTTGAACAACCTACTTACTTTCTTACCTCTTTTTGAAATTCTACGCAATAGCAATGAAAAAGGTTGTTTCAAAGATACCGCTTCAAATACGGAGAGACGAGGATACATAACGAAAAGCCTGAAGTCATAATCTAATTACAAATATTCAAATGACACTTATCATTCACCTAGTTGTTTTTTAGCATTATATTAACATAGAGGGAAAAAACGTACTTCTCAATTAGTCATGAAAAAGGTAATTTTTACGTTTTGAAGTTAGGAATATAATTCTTTTCGTTCGATACAATGTGGGGTTTGTGACACTTTTGGCATAGTATTTAAACTGTTATTGAGTATTTTGCATTAAACTTGTGCTTCCGATCTTTTTACTTTTGATCCTCTATTTCTATTTCATTAATATGAAGCATTAGCTTAAAAAATCTTAAAGACATGAATGTGATCTATCAGCAAAATAAATCACATTGGAACCGAGATTAAATGTTATTCGGCTTTGCGACATAAAATGTCCTCCTGTTCACCAGAAGCCGATTGATGAATCCATCTAAAGGTCAGTGTCTATTGTATAGACAGAAGTCTAAAATACCTACGCGATCAAAATATTTAATAAGTCCTGCTGATAAAAGAATTTCTGAACTTGTACAAATATTACTGAATGTTGTTGTTTGAACAACCTACTTACTTTCTTACCTCTTTTTCACAATAGCTGCTACCACCGTATGCTGACTACCCTTTGTATTCCTTATAGACCTGGAACAATAGAAAATGCTAATCAAAATAATACCTATATTTTCTTTATAAAAACTCCATTATCCATGTTTGTATATGTACGTTTCCATTACAACAAATTTACAATACTTCCTCGCCAATAATCAAGATCTTGTGCAAATTGAAAAGTTAAGGACGAGTTATGATCTCTGTTTGAACCCCTTAAAGACAAATTTGTTAGTATTCCCAAATAAAACCAAAAGGAGTGCTTTGAAAAATGACAAACACAAATTTCAAAGGTAATAAAATAGATCCTGTGGATCATTCCAAGAACCTGGGTATGTACGATGCTTTGAAATTTGTAGAACACGTACACCATCTAATTTCCTAGTGACACGCTATTCTCAGAATTTTATTTGCAAATAAGGCTATATTCAATAAATCTGCGAGAAAGCAATTGTGCGAATCTTTCTTTTTTTCAAATATACTAAGTGACATATTAATCCGAACACCCAGTTTAAATGGTTTTATTTTAATAAAAGTTGGTGAATGTATTTATCTTACTGTAAATAACAAGTGAAAAAATTTTCAGCCTTATCAGTTGGACATTCCGGTTTTTATACTGCTTTTTTTAATTCACTAACGCTCTAAAAATGAATATTTCAGCCGCAATAAAGAATCAACGTTGGCGGATTTTGGTTCTTGACATCCTTTACGATCGGTTACGATGCCTAGAGTACGGAGACCTGTACGATTTCGTCAACTTAGTGTCAACGAGTTTGATAGGGGCCGTATAGTGGGACTTCGGGAAGCTGGACCTTCTTTTCGGGCAATTGCAGTTAGAGTGCAAAGAAGTGTAGACACTGTGGTTAGGTGTTGTCAGGCATGGCTTCGAGAAGGCCGTACGCAAAGAGCAAGGGGCACTGGACGCCGCCGTAGAACAACAGACCGTGAAGATCGCCGCCTAAGATTATTGGCCTTAAGGGACCGTTTCTCCACTACCAGGTCCATTGCAAATGAATGGTTTGCAGAACACGGAAGACCTATTGGCATGCGAAGTGTTTACCGACGAATGAGAAGTTTTGGCTTGTTTTCATACCGGCCACACTGGGTCCTCCCTTTAACTCGAGAACACCGACGTAATCGCCTTGAGTGGTACAGACAACGGTCACTCTGGGATCAGGAATGGAACAGTATTGTCTTTAGTGATGAGTCTCGATTTTGTTTAGGCATGCACGATGGTCGTGCCAGGGTTAGAAGGCGACGTGGTGAAAGGAGGAATCCACAGTTTTTTGTTGAAAGACATGTTCATCACTGTTGGAGTTATGGTTTGGGGTGCTATAGCTTATGGTTCCAGGTCACCTTTAATCTTCATCAGAGGTAACATGAACGCGCAGCGTTATATCCACGAAGTTCTAGAACCCCATCTTTTACTCTATCTTGACACCCTGGCAGATCCAACTTTCCAACAAGATAATGCCCGACCACATGTTGCAAGAGTCACAATAGACTTCTTTCAACATAATGATGTCACATTGTTACCATGGCCACCAAGATCTCCCGACTTATCCCCAATTGAGCACGTGTGGGATATGATGGGTAGGAGATTGCTCAATTTGCAACGTCCTCCTCAGACTCTAGAAGCACTTCGAGAGGAGTTGGTGGTTGCCTGGAATGAGATACCACAGGAGGACATTGACCACCTGATCAGAAGCATGCCTAGGCGCGTTGGAGAATGCGTAGCACATCAGGGTGCATCCACACATTATTAAATGTCAAAGGGCTTTAAAGCAGTGCAATCATTTTGAAATTTTTATCATTTGCTTATTATGCTTCATTAAGTACTTATACAAAATTTTATTAAAATAAAACCATTTAAACTGGGTGTTCGGATTTATATGTCACTTAGTATATATCGTATTGCTTAGTGGTATCCCTATTTAGATATTTTAACAAAAAATCTCAGACGATATGATCATATATCATGGATGAAAATTGATAAAATGTATATATACCAGCTCCTAAGTCTGGCTCATAGGGTTCCTTATTTAAAATCATCGTCATATTTGATAACCAAATTCATACTTAGAGGAGATATGCATGACATTAATATTAGACATAGAGATACTTTTGCAATTCAATGCCACTGTATATCTCTATTTCATAAGACTTATATTTACAATTCGATCAAATTATATTATTCCGTAGACCGTCGTTTAAAAGAAACAAATTCATTAAAAAAAACAGAGTTTTATTTCTCTGTATGTCTGAAATTATGGAAGCCTTCATGTACATCAATTAAAGCCTTTAAAGGTAAAGCCTAAATGGAGTCGTAAACGTAATGCGGCTGTGTGTGCAATACGAAGTTCTTTCATTAGGTATCGCCTCACAGAAGCATATCGTATTTTACTTTGCTATAAGTTATGCCATCCCTGAGGGCAGGACAAGCCAGCCAGCAACACAGCCACTAATTTGCAGACAAACATGCTAAAGTAATAATTTCGTTCTAACAATACACAGAGCGCCAAGCTATACCACCACCGGCCTGTCTCCCTCCAAGCAACCTATAACAGCACATAAACGGAAAGTAGGGGCATGTACGGCGTGGATATTGAGGCCTAGGGTACTTGCCCACTGTACTCTGCCATACAAAGGTGAAACTATACCTATCGCCAACATACAATTTAATGCCAACAGTTTGTTTCTTAATAAAATATGCCCTAAAAGTGTTGGCACAAAATAATTATCGGATTTTACATTTCAGACAGTGTTGCAAGATCTGATCTAAAAATTTTAAGTGTACCATTCGTATATAGGGTATATCATTCTAAGACTCAGAATATTTCTAAGTTTTGGTGATTTCTAATTGTCATAATGGTACAGTTCTGTAATCAAGAAATGACAGATACGCATTTCGTTTACGGTATGGCTCTGGGTAACGTTCATATTGAGCCTCAGCAACTTGTAAAACATGCAAAATTTATCATAGGTTATACCAACTGTTCCATCACTACGTTTCATTATTCATCGAAATATTTGGAACATTACTCGCATTTTTTGTGATGGTGCTCTAGCTCGAAAAGAAAGCCGTTTCGGACCCATGTTCATACGAACATTGAGTCTTCAAATTGACCAAGGATTCGATGGTTAAAGTTTGTCTACATACTTTATTATTACCCTGTATATATTGGAATGTTTGATACATGTTAAAAATAATTATGATGGTTACAGAACTCCAAAAGAGAAATGTAACACAAGGTTCAACCACGAATTAATACAAGAATACACAAGACTATCAAAAACTAGACACGGAAGTAATTATACTAAGTGACATATAAATCCGAACACCCAGTTTAAATGGTTTTATTTTAATAAAATTTTGTATAAGTGCTTAATGAAGCATAATAAGTAAATGATAAAAATTTCAAAATGATTGCACTGCTTTAAAGCCCTTTGACCTTTAATAATGTGTGGATGCACCCTGATGTGCTACGCATTCTCCAACGCGCCTAGGCATGCTTCTGATCAGGTGGTCAATGTCCTCGTGTGGTATCTCATTCCAGGCAACCACCAACTCCTCTCGAAGTGCTCCTAGAGTCTGAGGAGGACGTTGCAAATTGAGCAATCTCCTACCCATCATATCCCACACGTGCTCAATTGGGGATAAGTCGGGAGATCTTGGTGGCCATGGTAACAATGTGACATCATTATGTTGAAAGAAGTCTATTATGACTCTTGCAACATGTGGTCGGGCATTATCTTGTTGGAAAGTTGGATCTACCAGGGTGTCAAGATAGGGTAAAAGATGGGGTTCTAGAACTTCGTGGATATAACGCTGCGCGTTCATGTTACCTCTGATGAAGACTAAAGGTGACCTGGAACCATAAGCTATAGCACCCCAAACCATAACTCCAACAGTGTGATGAACATGTCTTTCAACAAAAAACTGTGGATTCCTCCTTTCACCACGTCGCCTTCTAACCCTGGCACGACCATCGTGCATGCCTAAACAAAATCGAGACTCGTCACTAAAGACAATACTGTTCCATTCCTGATCCCAGAGTGACCGTTGTCTGCACCACTCAAGGCGATTACGTCGGTGTTCTCGAGTTAAAGGAAGGACCCAGTGTGGCCGGTATGAAAACAAGCCAAAACTTCTCATTCGTCGGTAAACACTTCGCATGCCAATAGGTCTTCCGTGTTCTGCAAACCATTCATTTGCAATGGACCTGGTAGTGAAGAAACGGTCCCTTAAGGCCAATAATCTTAGGCGGCGATCTTCACGGTCTGTTGTTCTACGGCGGCGTCCAGTGCCCCTTGCTCTTTGCGTACGGCCTTCTCGAAGCCATGCCTGACAACACCTAACCACAGTGTCTACACTTCTTTGCACTCTAACTGCAATTGCCCGAAAAGAAAGTCCAGCTTCCCAAAGTCCCACTATACGGCCCCTATCAAACTCACTAAGTTGACGAAATCGTACAGGTCTCCGTACTCTAGGCATCGTAACGGATCGTAAAGGATGTCAAGAACCAAAATCCGCCAACGTTGATTCTTTACTGCGGCTGAAATATTCATTTTTAGAGAGTTAGTGAATTAAAAAAAAGCAGTATAAAAACCGGAATATCCAACTGATAAGGCTGAAAATTTTTTCTCTTGAAAAAAACATGGAAATTGCTCAGAAATCCAATATTTTATCATATGAGAACAAAATAAGTACGTGGCATTTGCAATTAACTAGTGTAATAATATTAAAGGTTCAAACATAAAAAACTTTATTGCTCTGTTAACCGACAAAAAATAAATAAAACATTCTGAGGGACCCCGAGACACATCCAAGTCCATTCCACACAAAACAATGTCTTTGATTGCGAAAACGAACATGAGACCAAAAAATTCACATTATCGTATGGACGCTAGACAAGACAAAGAGGGATATCCGTAGACCATCTATAGATCGTGTTTTGAGACCGTCTCCAGACTGCCTATAGACAAATTGCGCAATGGGGTCTTTTAGTATGTAATAGGCTTAAGGATTAAGACTGAATTGCTTATTAAACAAATCGAGTAAATGGTGCTATTACTGACACAATCAAGCACTTATATTATATGAGAAGTATGAGGCATGTATTCCTCCATTCCGACGTGGATAATTTCGGTTATAGAAGAACAGACAAATTTTATCTTCGATGTTGTTCCCTCAAGTCCACCCTCCACCCGGATATTCTGAGAGTTGAGTGAGCTTACATCCGGAATTCTTAGTACTCGAGGGATCCATCATCATTAATTTCTTTGCTTTGGAAGACAACCGACTGCATAGCTTAGGTGTGGAAACATGCGGACATTTATAAGACACCCTGGGAAAAGCTATAGGGTGGTACCGCCTCGGTCGAATGGTCCTTCTCTACCACCTTCTTTTTGCGTGTTAATAATACTAAATAGACCTAAAGTGGCCAGTTGGCGGACTTGTACCGCCACCCGGCAATCGGTACTGAGGTATTCCTTAACGCGTGTATAATCAACTGTGCGGGAAGATGTTGTATGTTGGATACAACAACTTCCGGAACAAGCATTGGCCACGGCCCCGCTCAGTAGGGGTTGGGGTTTTTGAAATTCAATATAGATTTTACAGTTATTTTTCAGACTTTCGTTGTCGGCATAGTTGTTTTCTCAGTTTTCGAACCGGTGTTGATCGCATGTAGAAATGTTGGAAATTCTATATCCGTTAGATCGTAATTATTTTGATAATGTATGTTTGTATTGAACGCGTACAGGAATACAGGGCTGTACATATTCACGTATAGTGCAGCAGCTCTGTGATTTAAACGGATTCAATATAGCAACATAAGCAACGCGAGAAGAAATGCGGGACGTGTGAGTTTGAGCATCGATCGACGCAGTTTCTAGACAGGCCACAGGCGCACAGCTAAACAAATCTCATAAATGTCTATTCCCAATTTAGGCATTTATCTAACATAGTGCTTCGCTGCAACACCAATCCTGAACAAAATCAGTCAAGCTTTACACACTTTTCAAATTACTATTGAGCAACAAACACAGCATAAATCACTTTTTAAGTGCAATCTGTATAGCTAATATATTACCCAGACATAGATTTGTCACAAGTCACAATACTCGTATATATTCTAAGTGACATATAAATCCGAACACCCAGTTTAAATGGTTTTATTTTAATAAAAGTTTCTATAAATAACAAGTGAAAACATTTTCAGCCTTATCAGTTGGACATTCCGGTTTTTATACTGCTTTTTTTTAATTCACTAATGCTCTAAAAATTAATATTTCAGCCGCAGTAAAGAATCAACGTTGGCGGATTTTGGTTCTTGACATCCTTTACGATCGGTTACGATGCGTAGAGTACGGAGACCTGTACGATTTCGTGAACTTAGTGAGTTTGATAGGGGCCGTATAGTGGGACTTCGGGAAGCTGGACTTTCTTTTCGGGCAATTGCAGTTATAGTGCAAAGAAGTGTAGACACTGTGGTTAGGTGTTGTCAGGCATGGCTTTGAGAAGGCCGTACGCAAAGAGCAAGGGGCACTGGACGCCGCCGTAGAACAACAGACCGTGAAGATCGCCGCCTAAGATTATTGGCCTTAAGGGACCGTTTCTCCACTACCAGGTCCATTGCAAATGAATGGTTTGCAGAACACGGAAGACCTATTGGCATGCGAAGTGTTTACCGACGAATGAGAAGTTTTGGCTTAACTCGAGAACACCGACGCCTTGAGTGGTGCAGACAACGGTCACTCTGGGATCAGGAATGGAACAGTATTGTCTTTAGTGACGAGTCTCGATTTTGTTTAGGCATGCACGATGGTCGTGCCAGGGTTAGAAGGCGACGTGGTGAAAGGAGGAATCCACAGTTTTTTGTTGAAAGACATGTTCATCACACTGTTGGAGTTATGGTTTGGGGTGCTACAGCTTATGGTTCCAGGTCACCTTTAATCTTCATCAGAGGTAACATGAACGCGCAGCATTGTTACCATGGCCACCAAGATCTCCCGACTTATCCCCAATTGAGCACATGTGGGATATGATGGGTAGGAGATTGCTCAATTTGCAACGTCCTCCTCAGACTCTAGAAGCACTTCGAGAGGAGTTGGTGGTTGCCTGGAATGAGATACCACAGGAGGACATTGACCACCTGATCAGAAGCATGTGTAGCACATCAGGGTGCATCTACACATTATTAAAGGTCAAAGGGCTTTAAAGCAGTGCAATCATTTTGAAATTTTTATCATTCACTTATTATGCTTCATTAAGTACTTATACAAAATTTTATTAAAATAAAACCATTTAAACTGGGTGTTCGGATTTATATGTCACTTAGTATACCTAGAAATCGTAAGAATTGTGTTGTAAACGTAAGTGATGTCAAAGAGGGACAGCGTTTGGATACCAAAAAATCGCAGTGCTTAGTCCCTATAGCTATAACTTATAGTTAGTATGCCTGTGTCACTTTGATGTGACAGAAAGTAACACAATGTTGTTAGATTGCAAAATCAAATGTCAGACGTCTAGGGGGGGCGCGCGCCCTCTAAATCCGCCAGTGATACTAGCGAAGGGCAAATGTTTCCGTCACCCCCTAATACGCGCCCATGGCGAGCAGCAAATTGATGTGGACGGTAACATTAAGTACACATCGTCGTTAGTAAAACATTCAACAGCGCCGAGGAGAACTTTACTCTTAACTTATTGTCCCTAGTCTGCGCTACAACTTTGATATTTGTTCTTAGTGGTTATAGGGGCTTTTTGTTTTTATTACAACCCACTGGAGGAGCAGATGGCGGTAGTTTTTTATTTCTTTCTACGTACTTTAAGGTTGTTTGAGCGATATAAGATGGCAAGCAAGAAGTTTATGTAAGTGGCGGTATGGCCGGTTACGTACCCAATGGAACTGTAATGATATACTTTTATTCCCTGTCGATATGATATAAGAAAGTTACAGAACGGAAACGTTTTGGATGGAAAAGCAATAACATGTCAAAGCCCAAAGATCAGCTATGAAAAGTACCAGGTATTTGGAATGTCGAGCCTCTAAAATTATGCTAAATATGCAAATCTTAAGACAGACCCAGATTCTTAGGAGGTTTGATAGGATTTCTGTAACTGTCGCAGACACTTTAAGGCGGCTCCGACGCAGTTAGTTTCAAGCCATTTCAAGGGTTCAGCTGCTTCAAATCTGACACTCCATTTTTCAATATTTTTGAATGACATTCATACAGTATGTTGAGAAGATAATTGCCCAGGGTGCTATAGGAGCACTTTTTGAAATTTTGTTTATGCACAAGTTTTATGATGGGTTGAAGTGCGCACTTTTTCTGTTCAACTTCGCGATTTTTTTTAAAAGATCCTAGTGAAAAAAATGAAAAAGTGGCTCTGTAGTACCCTGTGAGGTTTTGTTTTCAGCACTCTGTAAAAATTTGATCCAAAAATATCAAAAAATAAAGCGTCAATTTCGAAGCGCGCAAACCTCTACAAATCGTATTTTGGACGAATTTTTTCTACTGTTTCGTGCTGCCAAACCAAGCGTTGCGGCGCAATCTACGGACTAAGAAAGGACGTATTCAGATAATTTGGTGGCCCTATTTTATATAATATCGCGTAGATAAGTCGTTCTGCAAATAGGTACTCATAATCGCGATCGCCGATACTCCTCGATTTTAAAGCCGTTTTACTTCCCACGTCATTGGCGAGGAAGTATTGTAATCGCGAAAAATTTCTAAAATGAGATGTTATGTTTTTTTAAGTCATATGACATCTACATCACGAAAAACTATATCACTCATCATCAACATGGAAATTACCGCTCGGGTTTTCATTAAATTTCCAGAGTATGCCAAAGCTTTGTAGTTTTAGTCCAGTGGCAACGGTGCTATAGGCAAAAAAGAAGTAAAAATTGCTGAAACTCCGTTTTAGACGTTTTAGGGGTTCCTAATCATTGACATAAAAAATTGTACTGCTTAAAAAGGGGGGGTTGAAATCAGTGAAACACGTTCTATTACTAAGAAGCTTTTGATCCCAGTGATTACAGGAAATTTAAGTATCGAAAATCCGACGAATAATGTGCTCACGATTTCAAAAAATCGGTACCTGCTCTATAGGTTTGACACCAACAGCCAACAGATCTGCAACTACCGCCCGCAGGGAAGAATAAATTCGGATATCACTCCAATCAAGTATAGGGAATTTAGCGTGGAACTTCAAAATTATCGATATGTCAAGGAAATATGTTTTTGAGAACGATCATTTGGTATATTTTATACCTGCATTTTCATTTGAATTTCAAAACCCGTGAAATGTACCCATTTCGCCGTTACCTTTTGTGTTCTGCAGTTTGTGATGTTTTTCTGGATATAAGCAGGCCATAATTGATTAGGGTGCTATCAGAGCTTTTTACAAAATTTTGTCTTTGCGCAAGAATTATGGTGGGTTGAAATGTTCACTATTTGTGCTCAACTTCTTGATATTTTAAAAAGATCCTAGTGGATCAAATCGAAACAGTGGATCGCTCGCACCATGTGGTCTTTGTTTGTGAAGTGCAAATCGGTTTTTGGGCGAAATTCATCTACTGTTTCGTCCTTCCAGTCCAAGCGACGCGACGGTGCGTTCCGACTAAGAAAAAATGTATTCAAATAATTTTATATCTTTCCTAAAATAAATTCAAGAATTCAAATTCTAATTCGTTTATTCATGTCAATAAGCACAATTATGTTTACAAGGGTCGTGTGGTAGATGGTAACAATTGAACGAGAGTCATAAAAATATCTTATGCCGTCAAAATAAGAGGAAACAGTTAGATAGTTTTTGCAAAGCAATAAACAGGTAGGCTTTACCTGGATTAAGTACATGCATTGTCTACTGTAATAGGTAGATGGAGGTGATGCTTCCAGAAATGGATGTGTGCGATCAATAAACAAACCACAAGATTAAACTGCCGTGTCCAATGATTTTTGTATTTGCTTTTTTTATTGCCTTACTAGAAAACTCTGTTGGATATATGATGGAGTTTACTAGAACTTTACAGCTTTTTGTTTGCCTTCTTCTACAAACTTCACCAAATCGAGACGCTGTCAACCTTATCCTCCGATGAAGACGCCACAAAGCACAGTCCTGTGATTTGGTGACTTGTTCGATATGCAAAATCTCGTCGTCACTTTTTCTAAGTTTCCCTAAAAATTCTTGCTTAGCAACCTCCAAATCAATGTCGTTGTCAGGTTTTTGACAGAATTCGCCATAAAACTATTATATATTTTCTTTGGAATTGCTATCCAAATTGTTTGTTATTTTTATATCAATTTATTTTGGTCTGAGTTTCTTTCCAAGATTCTTGCGTTTGAGTCTTTGTTCCATCTTAGTGATACGCGAGGTTGGACTAAGCTTAGAACGCAAATGTATTTCGACCATATAGACAGGCCGCTCGATATTGTGGCTCACTACAGCTGGTATGACCTCTTCTTGCAATAATTTATTCACTTACCCCAATGTATTTTGCGAGTATAGAGTTGAACTGCTCCACACTATTGTTGTCCTTATCATGAATTAAACTCACTGAATTGGTAATTAAAATTGTCGCATATGACCTTTTACTGTCCATTATCAACCTTGATAAAAAATTCACTCAAGAACAATCACACCAACAAGAGTACAACACAACAATTCAACAACACAATATCGACGAGCAGTAACAAGGGTAGAAAATACTAAATGATTACTAGCTGAGTACCAAAATAGGAAACGCTAATCGAAATGCGACTCTGTTATTATAAAAATTTACCTTGGTATGCACCCTCAGTCATCCTTTCCTCTTTTAAAGTAGCGCCGACCACCGTCTAAGACCAGCCCACAATCGTTTCCTTTTCACCCCCCCGTTACATCAGCAGATGGTGCTCGTGATTGTAGGAGCCCCGTTAATAGAGTCAGCCTACGGCGATGGTGCTGTTTCCGCCCGTGTTAATAACGAAAGACCTTTTGGCGGCTAACGCTTGAAGAGGGGCGTTACATGGTTATTAGCTTGGCCTGTATGTGTGTAAAGGAATCTTTGAGAATAATTTTCACTAATTTCCAGACGTTTGATTAATTTGAAACTTCGCACACGTATCAAGTACCGATAGCAATGCAATAATTCGATAACAGTTTTTCATTCTCCTTATTAGGACCGCTTGGATTGATAAATTCTTTTTATAGATCCTCGGTAGGAGAGTAAGAGAGATGTACTCGTAGCTAGCGCGCCATCTGCGCATGCGTGCAGTTTCGAACGTACTCTTTGTTGCTCTGGGCACTCGGCACAGCACAACGCAGGCAGATACTTTTTCAAGGTAGTGCATTCTCACCTTGTTCATTGCGAATGTTGCCGTTAATCCTGAGTTGGTCTTGGTAGGTACTTATGTAACACTTATTATTATTATAATATACAGGGTGGCGCATCGAAAACGAAACAGACGCATTTACTGGCAGCTCAGTCTTTTTTTGGAAAAAACGCTCAGACCGGTCGATTTTGTTTTCGAGGGGGAGACAAATTTGGCGAAAAATCACGTTAGCACGTGCAGCCCCCTTAGCGGGGGTGACACCACCCCCAAAATCTTAAATGGAAAGGGGGGTCGAGTGATACCTTGTTTTAAAGGTCTTTCAATTCCCTTTATAATGATATAAAATTAATGTACTTCAGTTTAGTAGTTTTGAAGATTTATTGATTTAAAGCTTAAATAAAACTAATACATCATCATTAGTGGAGATCAATACATTTGGCAGCAAAGTAATTTAAAAATGAAGAATGAACTGACCCGTTAGGCAAGTAAATGTTGAAAAAAAAACTGACCTGCCAGTAAATGCGTCTGTTTCGTTTTCGATGCGCCACCCTGTATATATATTATAATGTTGTATGATATACAGGAATCAAAATAGAACAAAACCAGAAAATCGACATTTTCGGACTTACGAGGTATTCATTTGAGATCGTCGAAGTTTTTAGTAACTTTGTTTATACCTATATTTGATCGTTGTTAATCTATTTGAGTTAATAATAGGATTCGACTAACTTAGCTTAACCCTGATCTGGTATCCTCATCATCAAATTTATACTGATCGCTTAGAGTCCATGCAAGAAAGTTTTTAAAATATATTTCATACAAAGAGGATGTGATATATCCTACCATTGGCTTTCCTCATAGTGAGTTGATGGTGATACATATCTGAAGTTTAGAGAGCAGACGCAAAAACAATTCAGTTCAGCTTCATCATCTTAAGCTTATACACTTACGTGTCATCGTGGAACAACTTAACATCTTTGTTTCTAGATTATTATTATCGATATAATGTGCCGTAATTATAATTTAGTTAATAGGATTTTAGATATATTTTTATTTTGTTAGACTTTGGGAGCCATTGATACGAATTTTCGTTAACGCTTGCATAAATGTTGCCGATTTGATTGTTGAGTGTTTTGTAGGTAAAGTTAGACGGCTTTTTTCCTCAGAGTTCTGTTCTGAGGTTTTTTCAGTATGCCATCTTTCTCCAGAAGACTTCTTCTACTTATATGCATTGATTCCTTTTTATTTTCATGTTTATCCATCCTGTAAATGGTTTTGGCTGACAGCGATATAATAATAATAATAAAAGTTTTTATTTCCAAATAAACTGAGTATGTAAAAAATAGCCAAATACGGGCGAAGTTCAGCTGTAGCTGCTCTTCCACTTAACCCGCTATAAAAGTCTGTACAAAAGGTGAGTGAGATCTACTTATTTTACACATTACAATTACTAAATGTATATGCAGTGCTTACATTAATACATCTACTATAAAAGAAACATAAACTTGTATCAGTATTTTCCTGAGACATGGTTACTACTGCTGGGATAAGAGATATTTTTTTAATTGAGTTTTGAAACTTGAAAGGCTCAGAGTTTTATATTGTACCGGAAAGGTGTTATAAATGGAACAAATTTGGTAGCTGAACGATCGTTCAAATTGGGCTGTTCGGAATATCGGCGGTGTCAACAACCCCCTGGATCTTATATTGATGTTATGCACATCTGTTCGAAATGTAACTTTTTCAAATAAGTAAGTGGGGGTCTTATACAAAATTATTTTACGATATAATGTTGCCGCATGCAAAAATCTTCTTGTTTCCATGTTCAACCAATTCGCATCTTTCAACTTATGCGATATTCGGTCTCGTCTTCCGATGCCATATATTAATCTGAGGCAAGAATTCTGCACAACCTGAATTTTTTGTTTGTAAGTGGCAGTTAAGCACGGGCCATACAACATATCAGAAAAATTGAAGTGCGAGAGCACCAACGACTCACATAGATTTATTTTGACTTTAACGGGAAGGTTACGTCTGTTGCCGTACACTATTTTTAAAGAGGAATATGCATTACGAATGAGCGAATTTACATGTTTTTCAAATCTTAAATTTACATCCAGTGTTACACCCAAGTGCTTTGCTTCACTGACAGTTTCAAGTTGTTGTGCATTGATGGTGAAGTTAATTGAGTTAGTAACAGCCTGGCGCGCATGCTTTGGCCCAAATACAATTACTTTAGATTTGCTAGAGTTAAGATGTAAACAATGTTCTTCGGCATTCTTTGTCAATAATGATAAATCTCTGTTGATGGTTGCACTCACAATGTCCACATCACTTTGTAGAAAAGTATGATACAGCTGAGTGTCATCAGCATAGCAGTGCATTTTGCAAGTATTTAAGCCTTTGCCCAGGTATGAAGTATAAATTGCAAAAAGGAGTGGACCCATAATAGAGCCTTGCGGCACGCCTGATTTTAAGGCTAATACGTTAGAATAACTTCCCTCCAAGAAAACCTTTTGCTTTCTGTTCTTTAGATACTTACTGAAAAAGTTGACACTATCCGAATCGAGCCCTATAAAATGCAATATATTTAGGAGTAAATTAAAATTGATCGTATCGAAAGCTCGACTAAAATCCAACATTATCAAAACTGTACACCTTCCCTGATCAGTGGCTCTGATAATGTCATCTGTTACATTTGTAGAAGTGCAGTTGTACAGCTAAAATTCTTTCTGAAACCAGATTGAATTGGAGAAAGCAAAGAAAACTTTGATAGATGTTCCATTAATTGCAACTCAACTGCTTTTTCTAATAATTTTGACAATGCTGGTAAGATGCTTATTTCTCTGGGGTGATTAAAATCTGAAGGATTTAGCTCTTTGGGAATTACTTTTACAATTGCACTCCCCTATACTTCTGGAAAAACATTTTGAATCAAACAACAATTTATTATATGCCTGATATAAGGAATAACATGTGGACAGCAAAGTTTTATTAGAAATATACTCGAGCCATCACAGCCTACAGCATTTGTTTTAATACCAGAGATAGCTTGATATATGAATATTTCATCAATTTCTCTAAATTTGAATTTGGAGTTTGCCAGACAGTTATTTTTGTAAAAATTTATTAAGGAATCTGGAGGTTCACTTGTATATATGGGATCTCGTATGGAAATGGCTCGACCCCTGGAGTTCATTAAAAAAGAAAGTGCCGTGGACTTTGAAAACCGAAATAAATATTTGTTATTTTTGGTATGGAGTGTGCGAATATCGAAATTTTTTTTTCTGTACAGGCCCATTTGACATTCCATACCCCACTTTCAATTCTCACACCGTTTAGGTGGCAGCTCTCCCTATGATGCTTTGACAGTGTAATGCTAGCTGTAACATATTGCATATACAGGGTGTTCCTTAATGATATGCGAATATTTAAGGGTGTGAATCTACATGAAAAATTAATGTTAAATTGCTTTATAAACTATGGTCCAAAAATGTTTCCTTACAAAAACTCGGGGTGTTGAAGTTTTAGGAAAAAAATGGAAATTAATTAATATTTTCAGAACCGCTTCAGATATTTCACTGATATTTAGTACTTAGTAAAAATTAATAAAGTTGCATATTTCTCAATGCAAAAATAATTTTTAGCTTTAACAGTAGCGTGCGTACGGGTATTGACTTCGATATTTTTTAAGAAAAAAATGCTACGCCAATAGTTTTTTTTGGGAAAAATTTTGAATTCTCTGTTCAGTTTAAAACAAATTATCTTTCTTGAGTTGCTTCCCTTCGATGTGCCATTTTTGAGTAAAAAAATAAAAACCGTTCTATTGTCCGAGAAAATTAATCTAATAATTGAAGAATGCAATTGAGCGTTAAATTTCTAGTTGCTCTGGAATATGTCACTGACTTTTGACATCTGACAAGTCTCTGTTATTCAGATCTGTTCGCTGTGACATCTTTTTCATTATTTAGTTTTTACAATCTTGTCAATAATGGTGAATTATTCAAATGCAGAAATGGCGGAAATGCATTACGTACATGGCCTTGCCGACGGTAATGGTGAACAAGCCAAGTTTTTATTTTTTTACTCAAAATGGCGCATCGAAGAAAAACAATTCAGGAGCGATTATTTGTTTTAAATTGAACAGAGAATTCAAAAAGAATTTTTATTTGGCAACAAACCATTGGCGTATCATTTTTTCTTAAAAAATATAGAAGTCAATACCCGTACGCACGCCACTGTTAAAGCAAATAATTATTTTTGCATTGGAAAATATGCAAATTTACGTACTGAATATCAGTGAAATATCTGAAGCGGTTCTGAAAATATTAATTAATTTCCATTTTTTTCCTAAAACATCATCCCGACTTTTTGTAAGGAAACATTTTTGGGCCATAGTTTATAAAGCAAACTAACATTAATTTTTCATGTAGATTTACATCCTTAAATATTCGCATATCATTAAGGAACACCCTGTATATGAAGGCCCCTCTTAATAGAATTATCTTACGGTGAC